TTTTTTCTCAAGCCCCTTTTACTTCTTTCAGTTTTTTAAAAAACTGTAGTGTTTATGTTTAGAAATTATAATATGATGCATTATTTATGTTTAGAGATTATATTTGACTACTTTATAGTATTTCAAATGAAATTTAATGTGCTTTTCTAAATATTGTATTCATGATTTAGAGGGGGGTTTATTTTCTCCAGAGAGAAAGTATAGTGTTTTCTTTGGAAATTGAAAGGAAAATGACTATCTTGGAGTTTTTGCCCTTAGTTCTGTCCCAGTGCTGCCTTTTCAAGCAACAGCAAAGACAAATTATCATGAATATTAGTTATGAGCAGTCGCTTAAGGTAGAGTCAGAGCAAGAATAGTTTGAAGAGAAAGTGTGTGATGTTGAAGAACTTATCATTGAATGGAGAGGTCAGGCCAGTTTAAGATTAATTAATTAAAAGTTGTGAATTAAAGGAAACTGCTTTGTGATTTACTGTATATAAATTTTGAGTTAGTACTTGTTTGATACAGATTCAGAAAGCAAAATGGTTCAGTTACTTAAGTAGAACTATTTGGAAGATATTTTTATACAGTACATTTATTTATTTATTTTTTTGGCTGAGGCTGGGTTTGAACCTGCCACCTCCTATATATGAGGCCAGCTCCCTACTCATTTGAGCCACAGGTGCTGCCCTATGGTACATTTATTTGCTAACTGAAATACTAAGCATTTTTAGTAATAATTGGTATGGGTTTCAAAATGATGCCTTGTTGACTTACAAAAGGAAGCACTTTTTCTCTTTAGAAGGATGGATTTATTGGAAACTTAAAATGACAGGGCTTTGATAATTAAGAAGAAGAAACAAATTGTCAAGAAAATTGATAGCCTTGTGAATGATCACGTATTATAGTCAGTTGCTAAGGAAATGTGTTGTGGCTCCTTTTTAGAGTAGTAATGAACGTTCTACTCAAGTTATATAGTGCCTTTCCACTTAAAAATTTATGTATTTATGTGACTTACATTTAAAAAAGGCTAGTTTATGAAATCACAATGAATTAGCAAAACTTTTAATACATGAATTTTCCAAATTTTATTAAGACCTTTTTGGTGTTATATCCCCAATGCATTTATAGCAAATGGAAAAATATGGTTTGGTCGCTTTGCTTTGGTTACTCTCAAAAAGGATACTCCTTTATGTGTTGTTTTTACTTCACATCTATTGTATGATGAACATTTACTTTGTCTATATTGATTAAATAGGGCATGCCTTACTTTATGCAGTGTCCATATGAGAATTTAACAGTGGACTTAGTTTGACCTTTGGAAGTAGTATAGTAAATTTAATGATGTTTCTTTGAGCTCTTGAAGGGATTCTTTCTGTTCTTTTGGGGTTTTTTTGGAGACAAGAGTCTCACTTTGTGACACTCAGTAGAGTGCCATGGTGTTATAGCTCACAGTAACCTCATATTCTTGGGCTCAAGTGATCCTCTTGCCTCTACCTCCCAAGTAGTTGGGATTAATAGGAGCCCAATGCTGGGCTATTTTTAGAGATGGGGTCATGCTCTTGCTCAGGCTGATCTCTAACTCCTGAGCTCAAGTAATTCACCTGCTTTGGTCTCCCGGAGTGCTAGGATTATAGGTGTGAGCCACCACACCCAGCCCCTCTTTCTGTACTTTTTGGCTATATTTATACATCTTTTATTTTTTTTCAGACATTAACAATGGCAGTGATCATCTTGAAAAGGGTAGAAACAGGGATGTTACATGTTCTGATTTAAAAATGGAACCTACTCAGATTTCCAGGAAGACAAAAAAAAGGATGAGAAATAATTTACCTAATTCTTGTAATTCTACTCCTTCTTTGGATATGTCAACAGAACAGATAGTAAGTAGAGGTATTTAAATGTCATATGAAATATTTCTGTATTATAATAAAAATGAACTGACCGTAGCCAAATAATGTTCCTCCAGCTTTCTGCTTTTGTGATCATAATTTCTCTCTTTTTCGGTTTTCTGCTAGCTTTATTTTTAAAAAACATTTTAAATGTAACTTTTCTCTGTAATACAGAGTTATTTGAACAAATTTCAAATGTTATACATGAGCAAAAAGTTAAAATTGCTCTTTTTCCAATACCAGTCTTTTCTTAGTAGTTTGATGTACATCCTCCAGACTTATTTTTGTTTCTTTTTCCTTATTTTAGCTATACTATTCCTGCTGTCCAGTCACTAATTTTTTTTTACTTGCTCTGTAAAATTATTATTGGATTTATTTTTTCAGCAGTCATTTACTTACAAAATTCTTTGAGCTTCTACTTATCTAGAGTTTAGGCAATTTATTATTTTATTCTGTTTTTTAAGGCAATTTATTATAAGTAATAATTATCATACCTTGTATACAATACCTGTTTTTCAAAGACTTAGCATGTAGTTAGCTATAAAACAATGATACATGTAAGATAGCTTTTTGATTCTTTTAATTTGCAAGCTGTTTCAGGACCTTGTAGTGGCTTTGGGTTATAATTATAAATGTAATTCAGAGTGATATAGTAATGGAGATATTGACAGCAGTGGTTGATTTTCATAATTCTTAATGTTACCTTGTTAAATTTTAATTTTTTTGCTTTTACTAAAGCAGTTGTTCACAAGGTCTTATTACTTTTGCAAAGTAAAAATGTTAAAAAATGTTATTCTGAAGTTGACTTAGATTGTGAGAGACCATCTGAACCACTTGTAAAGGTGGGAATCTCTTATAATCATTATTTAGGTATTTTGGACAGACCAATTCTAGATTTTTATACCTCGGAGACACTGGCAAGCATAATGTAGTATAACTGTCTAGTTTTCTATCCATGTAGTTACAGAAATGATATATTTTTACTTTTATATTTTTTTAAAGTTTAAATCTCACAATTATAGTTTAAACAAGCCAAATTTGAAAAAATGTTTTTTATATGCTTATATTCAGAAAGAACAAGAAAATGAGTCAATAGTATCCACTGAATTTGAAAAGTCAAGTGAAAGCTATCACGAGGACTCAGAAATGCTTGAAGAAATTATACCCAAACACATAGAAAGTGATTTTCCTAAACCACCTTCGCCAAATAGTCAAGAGGTGGATTTGAGTGCTGCCTTCAAAAGTGCCTCTGCCTGTTCAACCACTGAAACTTTTGAGAGCTCTGTTTTCAGTGATACTGTGATTGAGAAGGATGAGAATGAGTCGAATACAATAGAAAAGCCTGTTCTAAGTGGACACAGTGAAGGGAACCAGTCATTGATCTCTGCTGAACTAAGTAAGTAACAGGAAGATTATAAAGGCACTGATTTTCTCTGCTTTACTTAGTTTTTTTTTTTTTTTTTTTTCCTTTCTTCTCTCATTGAGCAAATTTTGCTAAGGAAATAAGCTGTCTATAACGTTGCTGTGGAATATATTAACTGTAGGAAAAAAGACTTGGGGTTTTGGGATTTCCTTCATAAATCTTTCAATATTGATTTAGGTAAACTAATGGAATACAGGGCAGAGAAGCTAATTTTTTCTTTCATTAGTACAGTGGCAGTGTAACTCAGTAGTTTTAATATATTCTCTAAGAACTATTATTATTGTCAGCTGGTTAATGAAGCTGAAGTATGGAGAATTTAAGTACTATTCAACTATTATCATTTTGATTTAATTATTTCTGAGTAGTTAATGTAGTCACATGATACAAAAAGTTTAAAAGGTTTGAAAGGATACATAGTCAATAGCACCCCACATCTTTCCTTAGCTATCCATTTACTTTTCCAGAAGTATCAAGATTTAAAGTACAATTTAGAGTGATGGCACAATCTATTGTTAGAGCTAGAACTTGTACTTAAGGCTTCCTTATGGCTTTATTCTCGGGAAAGTAAGGTTGCAAGCAACTGTTGAATAATAACACTGATAGGGGAACATTGTATATAACTAGTATAAATCAGATTTAGAAACTTGTTAGGCAGGTTTCTAAATTGAATAAATTTTGATGATTAAATTTAATGGGCTTATTAAAGATATATTGCATTAGGTAAAAGTTCTTGGCCAGGTGCAGTGGCTCATGCCTATAATCCTAGCACTCTGGGAGGTTGAGGAGGGTGGATTGCTTGACCCAGGAGTTTGAGACCTGCTTGAGCAATAATAAGACCCTATCTCTAAAAAAATAGCCAGGCACTGTGGCAGGTGCCTGTAGTCCCAGCTACTTGGGAGACTGAGGCAAAGGATCGCTTGAGCCCAAGAGTTTGAGGTTGCTGAGAGCTATGATGCCACGGCACTCTACGGAGGGCAACCAAGTGAGACTCTCTCTCTCAAAAAAAAAAAAAAAAAGTTCTCTTTCAATACGATTATTGTGACACGTTTAAAATATATTTTTCCTTTTTAGTTGTTGTTTCCAGTGATGAAGAAGGACCCATTGAGCATAAAGATTCAGAAATTCTTAAATTACAACCTAAGCAAGACTATGAGATCACTAATGAAAATCAGAATACCTCTGAATCAGCGTTGTCAGAATTACCGTTGACTACATGTGAATCTGTACAGGTAATTTATTTCTTCCTTGTCACAGATTAACAGCAAAATATACATTATTGACTAATAACAATTATTTGTTTTATCAAGCAGAATACTGTAATAAAAATCATAAATTTTCCTAGTTTGGATTTTATGACTTTTATGCTAGTTTGAGTGAAGTATGTAATTGTTTTTATTTTGAAACGAAAAGATTATACCATTTTTTTTTTCATGGTCAACAAATAATTATATTTTTTCAATCTAGCCTAAGACTTGAATGATTTTCAAATTTTTAATGGTTCTCATTGGACATTTGTTACTATTTTATCAAAAAGTTTTCTAGAATTAAACAGTTTCTGGTATTTGTCTGTCTGGTCTTGGAGTATTATGGCTACTTGGAATTATTCCTTTTCCTCACTTATCAGAAGGCAATATGAGATAGAGGAAAGAGCATGACTTCTGAAGATACATAGATCTGTTTTCAAATCCTGGCTGTGCCATTTGGGCAAGTCACTTTAGCTTCTTTAATTCTGAATTTTCCATATGTTAAATGAGGATAATAGCATCTACCTCACAAGATTATTTTAAGCATTAAATGATGTAATACACAAAACAGTGTCAAAAACCCATCAAGTTTGGTAAGTCCTTTGTCTCTTCTTATAGAAAATAATAAATGTAAGTGTGTCAGTTTATTAGCTAGTTAATTCAGTCCTTTGAAGAATGTAGGTCCAAAATAATGTTCAAAGCATTTATTGTCTGTATTCTTTCTTGTTTAGCCTCTGATTATCCTATTTATAAGAGATGTTTGGCAGTGACCACTAGTGCAGAATTATGGTAAAATTTTATTGATTTGTTATTTGAATTATGTCAGAGGCTGTGAGAGCATGTGATGAAGATTTTGGCTGGATCTATGCAAAAAGTTTGGTCTGATTATTGTTTCTTGAGTATTTCTTTTGCATTTAACACTCCACACAGAAATCACCACAGCAGCTTTGTTCTGAATGACTGCAAAAATGTAAACATTCTTGCCAGATTGGGTCAATAGCCTAATAATGGCTTAATTTTGTTTATATTTAAAGTTATCATTGTTGGTAATGAACTTGAACTTACAGAAGAATTATAGTTACCTTGGCAGTACATAAATTGACAAGGCAGTATAAAATGTTCATATTATAAGAAAATAACATCTCTGGTAGAATTTACAGAATTCATGATCATAGCTTGACAGCAAATACTGTAGAGATCTACCAAGACATATGAGACAGAATGACACATCTCCATGCCCTCTTTTGTTCCCTGTTTTATTTATTTATTTTTTATTTTTTTTTTTTGAGCGGAGCCTCAAGCTATCCCCCTGGGTAGAGTGCCGTGGCATCACGCTCACAGCAACCTCCAACTCCTAGGCTCAAGCGAGTCTCCAGCCTCAGCCTCCCAAATAGCTGGGACTACAGGCGCCCGCCACAACGCCTGGCCATTTTTTGGTTGCAGCCATCATTGTTTTTTGGAGGCCCGGGCTGGGGATTCAAACCCGCCACCTTAGGTGTATGTGGCTGGCACCTTAGCCGCTTGAGCCACAGGTGCCGAGCCTGTTCCCTGTTTTAAATGAGTTATGAGAAACATGGATTGGTCATTTTTAGGAGGCAGTCTTTATGAAATATGAGGCCCAGAAGAAATTATTTCTAAACTAGCCTTTCCTTGTATCATTGAAAATAAAAATCAGTTATTTGTCTGATTGGTTGGAGCCACTTATAGTTGATTTGATTCCCTTCTTTACTTAGGGGATAAGAAGATAGTATACTAAACAATAAAAGATGAGAATGACAAGGAAATTCAATTAAGCAGGTAAATGGCATCGTGAGCTGGGTTAAAAATGAGTATGATAAATGTTTTAGATGAGGAATAATCACATTCATTAAAAGGAGAAGGGGAGTGAGTACACTTGCGTAATAATTGCTGTAGTGGTAATTTATTTAGTCATTTGTGATATTAGTGTTGAGAAAAAGATAATGTGCAGAGACTCTAGGCAAATGTGGAATTGAGAAAGTGACCTGAAAGCCGTGCAAAGGATAGTGGGAAGCAATTGCTGCTGACAGTGCTTGGTGGACTATTATAATTTAAAAGCAAAGTTATGTAGTTGATGGAAGTGGTATGAATTTTTGAGGTTTTAGGCAAGTCTGAACCATTTTTGATTGGCTATCTTCAAGCATAGAGTATAGTGAAGCATATAGATTTGATATACATAGTAACAGCTGGTTCTTAGGCACTTAGATCTTTTCCTTACAATGGCACAAACATTATCTTGGTCAATGGAAACATTATCTTAGGTGATTGAAATAACACTTGACGTGGAATCAGAAAGCTAGGTTTGAATCTTAGTTTTGTTTTTTACAAATTGCATGACCTTGGGTAAGTCACTTAACCAATCCAAACATCTGTTAACTTTATTCATGAAATAGGGAGAAAAACCTACCTGTGGGATGGTTGTGGAGATTAAAAGAGATAACATTTTAAAACTCATTTTAAACTATAGCACTATGTAAACCTAAATTTATTTCAATAGAGTTAAGAATATAAATAAAGCTTATTAGACAATGGGATATCATGGCTTAATTTTGGATTCAACTATTTGGCATAATTTCCTCAAGGTAAATCATATACCTATACCTTTTCAGAAAGAAAAAATCTGGATAGTTATTTCTTTATAGTAAGAACAATATAAAATCCTTTAAAATTCATTAATAGTAATTTAATGAAGAATTTATGAAAAAGCAGCTTTGGCATTTATGTAATATTTAGGGTTATATGCATTTTATAATTTATTCCTTGTTAGGCATCATCTGAATCAGGTCCATATAATCCTGTCATGGAAAACATTTCCTGCGTTATGCCTAGTAATGAGATGGATCTACAACTGGATTTCATTTTTACTTCTGTCTATATTGGTAAAATAAAAGGAGCTTCAAAAGGCTGTGTTACAGTAAGTATATTTTTTTAACTTTTTTCTTTTTTTCTGTTTTTTGTAGTATAAATGAAAATATAATTGAGATTAATTTTATATAGGACACTTTGGATATGTTTAAACTCATTATGCCTACTTTGAAATGTGTCCTTATTTCCCCCTCCTAAAATCCTATCTGATTTGACTACTTGGATGAAAATTACATATAAAAATTCACATGTAATATTGATATTCTTTGGGCTCTGAAAGTTATTTGATAGTAAATAGTTTTTTTTTTTTTACTGAATGGTAACTATGTACATTAATGCACTTCTGGGGTACAGTGTGGGGTTTTCACATGCACTGAAATACTTCCATCAAACTGGTCAACACAGCCTTCATGTCATTTTCTCAGTTATTGTTTTAAAACATTCACATTCTACTCTTAGAAAGATTCACTTGTACCCCTATAAGATAAACCTCAGAAGTGATCCCTCCAAACCCCCTCCCGATAGTAAATAGTTTTGAGGGTGTAGTTTGGAATACAAAGAAGAAATCTCATTTGCCAGTAAATTGTTACAAACTGAATTCTCTAAATTCCAAATCATTTAAAGTATGTCCAGGAGGTGGCACCTGTGGCTCAGTGGATAGGGCGCCGGCCCCATGGGTGGTGGGTTTGAACCCAGCCCTGGCCAAACTGCATCAAAAAATAGCCGGGTGTTGTGGCAGGCGCCTGTAGTCCCAGCTACTCGGGAGGCTGAGGCAAGAGAATCACCTAAGCCCAGGAGTTGAAGGTTGCTGTGAGCTAGTACAACACGGCACTCTACTGAAGGTGATAAACTGAGACTCTGCCTCTAAAAAAAATAAAAAATAAAAAAAATAATAAAGTATGTCCAGGAACCGAGCCTAATCTATTTTTTACTCTTTTTTAGTATTTCTCCTCACATACTATATATGAAAGCCAGACTGCATTTCAATCAGTTCTCTATTTTCTTCCCACTTCTGTCTCTTAAAATCCTTATCATTTTTTAAGGTTTATCTGAAATACTTACTACCTCTTCTAGGAAATCTTTCCTGATCCCTCATTTCCATATGGAATTAATTTCTTTCTTTACTGTGTACATATACCACTTCATTTGTACATCTGTTATAAGATTTATTTTATGGGTTTTATAATTACTTGTATGCCATTAACCTTTAAGCTTCTTATGGTGAAGATCCATGCTTTTGTTCATAACCCTTTATACCTTCTGTAAATGGCCAGTCCTAAATAGGCATTTATAAATGTTGAATTGACTATGTCAGATTGTAACTCAAGTATTTCTCTAACATTTTACTGTGATAGGATAGGGCAGAGAACATAAAAATAGTAAGACATATTTCTGCTTCCAAGGAACTTGTAGTCTAATGGAAGAGACAGATGTGTAAATAGATATTTACTGTATATCATGGTAAAATGTACAATGGAAGTATGTACAATAAAGGTGCATATGGGAATGGCTATCTATACATGTCTGGAGGAATCAGGGAAGGCTTCAGAGAAGACAGCACATGCTTTAAGACATGAAGTAGATTTTACTTGGGGATCATGTAGGGTAAAACATAATCATTGTAGAATAAATATCATGTACAAATCTGGCAAATTCTGAGCACAGCAAATAATGGTAGCTTGTGATATAGTCAAAATTGCTTTGATTAACTACCCAAGAATGATTTGGTTTAAAATTAGTATTTCTTGGCCATTGATTTTCAAATAATAATTACTTTGGCATGAGTGGGATGAGTTTCCAATTTTTTTTCTTTAAAGAATTTTGTGAATTTTTCAGAATTTTATCCCATATTTTGTTATTTTATTTTTAAATTTAGGTTCAACCAGTTATTTCTTTTGGTTTCCCTATAATCACAAAAAATTGGGTAGCTTAAGTAAATGACAATAATTGATTAGCCAGGAGAGGAAAATCCAACATAAATATTCAACAATGGGATTTCATTAATTGATGTATTAATCATATTATTATGCAGTCACATGGGCGTGTTTTGGTCAAAGAATAAAACCAAACAAAAAATACTAGACTACAATGAATAAAGGAACAATGTAAGAACACATGTAATATGCTCTTCTTGAGGAGCCATCACTAACTCTGTAGTGCATGTCATTCCATATTCCTCATCTCCATAGGATTATTAAAACAAAAGGATATTATATAGTAATATTTTGTAGTTTGCCAAAATTAAATTAATTTCTGTGCCTTTGTTTGGGTATTTGAGTCTCTGAAAATTTCTAACTGTTTTAATCAAACCTAAATCAGATCAAAAAACGTTTTCCAATTGTTGGTTATTTCAGTTATCCTAATACTGCCTTTATAAATAGTAGGGGAGTGCAAATATTCAGTAAGTATTACAAAGTAGGTTTTAAAATTTTATTGTCTCATGTTTGTTGGAACATTCTAATTAAAATAAAAACCTTAAATGTTTAATTATAAGAAAGTGATTTAGTAAATCAGAAGAAATATATACATGTGGATCAAAGTTGAGAGGAATTCTATAAAAATAAAGACAGTTATCAAGGAAAGAACATAAGCAGCTTAAAAACCAAAAATTTATGATACTTAAACATAACATAAAAAAAGGGAAAAGGGTAAAAGTCTTAAACAATTCAGGTTTTTCAGAAGACTTTTTACATGTATTCTTCAGAAAGAATTCAGGACGCTCTTTAACAGAAATTAAAGAACTTTTTATGTTAGGGAATTAAATTTAGTTATTCTCTGAACATTCAGTGAGTGGCAACTGTGTGTTAGACATTGTTGTATGTTGAGAACTGGATATATTGTTCATGACAGTTAAAATTTAGCTGAATTAAAAAAACACCCGTGATCAGAAACTACTACATAAATTAGAGCCATTTTCCTATAGTTGGACATTTAAGTTGTTTTTAGTTTTTTTTCCCTTTTCTTTCCTTTTTAGAGACAGGGTCTCATGTCACCCAGGCTGGAGTACAGTGGCATTTTCATAGCTCTCTTCAGGCTCAAACACCAGGGCTCAAGCAGTCCTCTACCTTAGCTCCCCGAGCATCAGGGACTACAGCCATGTGGCAACACACCCAGCGAATTTTTTCACATTTTAAAGAGACATGGTTTCACTATATTGCCAGGCTATTCTTAAACTCCTGGCCACAAATGGTTCTCGACTCCGTGGCTTCCAATAGTGCTGGGATTACAATATGAGCCACCACATCTGGCCTTGTTGAAGGAGTACTGCAGTGAATTTTTAAATTTCAGATTCCGGTGGTATTATTTTTTGTTATATGTGTTTTAGTGTACCTGTCACCAGAATCTTGTACATTGTTTGTGATAAATAATTTCTTATCCCTCACCCTTCTCCCACCCTCTACTTTTCTTAGTTTCTGGGAAGGATTTTTCTTTTTGCGTTTTTTTTTTTTTTTTTG